CCTGCATGTTGGGAAAAACACACAGTGTTTGTTGTCTTTCTGACAGGTCTGACTGTGCTGAACCAGCCAGCATGGCGTGGGCCACTGCAGTGCACAGCAGGATCTGCTATTTATTTGACCTGTTGTGGAATGTAAAGTGGGGGTTGAGGGGTCTCAATGTGAGGGTGAGCTTTTAACTATGGTAATTGAAGTAGACCTACTTTCTACCTCTTTGGTATTAGGGTCAAATTCAATTTGTTCTATTGTTATTTCTTTCCAAAAAAGGCTTGAAAAATCTGTCCTGAGTCAGACTGCGAGCAGTAAGTAAATTGTCTTTTTAATCTTGGAAAAGAATTCCTAATAAATATGATCCTAAGAACTGTGTTCATATGTCAATTTTCCTGCAAATTCTTCCCAAGATTTAGCTTGCTTTTTCTTATAGAGTAGATAAAATATAATGCTAAGGGTATTATTAGCAGTGTTTTAGGAGGACGGCCTCTGTAAACAAAAACTCTCTGAACATATAAAGCCATGATGAAAAACCCATTTCTTCTGTCTTTCTAAAATTACTTCCCCTTTTTTCTGATATTAGAGAAGTTGTGATACTGCACCTCGTTGAAGCAGAGTCTCATGATGGAGCTCTGTAAGAGCATCATTTCCCCCTGAGAATACGAACAGTCTATCCACATACTCACAAGTGTGACCAAAATACCAGCCTGACTGTATAGGATCTCCAATTTTTCCCTATAAAAATCCCTCCCTTCATCAAAAGAACAAAATAATCACACTTGATCACTTGACTTCCCGTTAATCATTGATTTGCTTGAGCGGGCGCCAGTAATGTCTCCATTTGTCCCTGTCGTGTACTAATGTAGCCCAATGGCGTCTGTTCGTTCTAGGAACATGAAGAGCCTCAAACCGATCGTTCAGGGTCTTGATGAAGAAGTCTGACCATCTGGTAGGTGGGCGGCCACGCGGTCTTTTGACATCCCATGGAATCCAGTCAGTAACGGCTCTAGTCCAGTGGTCATCTCCAAATCTCATTGTGTGTCCAGCCCATCTGATTTTCGATGCCTTGACAAACGAGACAGCGTCCCTGATTCTTGACCGTCGATGGAGGTCGGAACTCTGGATTCTTTCTCTCATTTGAGCGAAACGATGGATTGGAAGAGATGCCATTATTTTTATGAGCTTTTCTAAATTCACACTCTTTATTTGGAGGACCAGGCTCCCAATTAGTGCTGTGGGGAGCAGGCTAGAGGCTATCCCTGGTGATTCCTGGTCACCTTGGCTGGCAGTTCCATGTAGGGACCTGAGGGTGTGTTTCTGGGGACAAGGAGGTGCATATCCTCTGGTGCTGAGTGCCTTTCAGGTCATCTGTAAGGCCATGACTGAGAGGCAATGTGGGGTTGGGATCAGTGACCCTGTATTCTCTCCTCTCCCTGGCCCTTAGAATCATTAACTACCTGGTAATACAAATTGAAATAAACAAACAAAAATTCATGTGTGGTGTTGAAAGTAGACTATGAACTGAACATGTTTGCCACTCAATGCCTCTTTTGCAGACCACAACACCCAAAAGAAGAGAGAGAACAAAAGGGAATGCCCTGCCACAGAGGCAGGGTGGGATGGGGGGGATGGGTGTGGGAGGGATATTATCCATGACGGTGGAAAATGGGCACTGGTAGAGGGATGGGTATTTGATCATTGTATAATCGAAACCCAAGCACAAACATTTGTAAATCTACAACTGTACCTCATGGTGTTTCACTAATAAAAATTAAAAATAAATAAATAATTTAAAAAATGGGAAAAAATAAATAAATAAAATACATTTGAAAAAAAGAAAAAAAATACATGTGTGGTCTGCAAGCTGGGACCAAGACCATATAGTCCACTAAAGTCTGGTCTATAGTAAGACAAAACTTCTTCTATCTGTGTAAATCCAACTCTAGTTAAAGACATCCAAAGAACTAAATCTCTGTCACTATGATGAAAATGCTACAGGCAATGTTATTTGTTTTTGGTGAAATAAGTCATCAAATAGATTAAATATGTCAAAGATGAATATAAAACGTGCTACAATTTACTATTGATAAAAATATTGCAGTCTTTGTGACCTATAAAAACACTGTAGAAAATGTCATCCTCACAGTCACCAACAGATAGATCTGTTTCCAGGTGATGATGTGTGATATTTGCAGTTCTATCTGCTGTTCACTCCCATGAGTAGTCTAGGATCAGAAGGGCTTTGTCAGCATCTAAAGCCTTTGTTCAATATTCCTCCTACACCATAATGTATCATCATGATTCTCTTTATCTATTAAGGTCATACTTTAATAGTTTTGATAAAATCATTCCAATAAGATGTCCCGAGATTAATTCCATGCATTGCATGTTAATGTACTATTTTCATTAGTTTTTAAAAACATGTATTGATTTTATCTTTAAAAAAAATCTTTTTCATACTTAACCTGGCAAAGGAGAGACCATGATCATGAAAGTGGTTTATCCATTGCACTCTGAATGTGCTGACCCTGTGATTTCCCCAAATGTGGGAAACTCGACTGTAGAATTTGTGGTAGTATGTGACTGCCTTCACACTCACCCTTGAAGAAAAGAAAATTTTTTTTCATTGAATCACTGTGAACTACAAAGTTACAAAGTGATTTATGATAGAGTTTTAAGCACACAATGTTCCAAAACCAATCCCTTCATCAATGTACATTTATGTCCACTAATATCTCCAGTTTCCCTCTCACACTCCCAGCCTGCCTCAACGGCAGTCAAGATTTTCTTTTTTCCTCTCTTTTACTACCCACTCCCCCCACACACACATTTTAGGCATTGGGTTACAATACTGTTATTGATAGGACACCACACATGTCACTTTATCTCCTTTTATCACCTTATCTCTAAGTGCTCTATGTTAGAATGATATATGTCATGATATGATATAAGGGCATTTTTATTTCTTACTTTTGAAGTTTATAAATTATTGCTTTAAATACATTAAAATTTCAATGCTAGATAATACAGGGATTAAGGTCTCTGTTGTATGTGGCCGACCCTTAAATGATCCCCAGCATTGCATATGGTCTATTGAGTGACCCCTGAACACAGAGTCAGGAGTAGCCCCTGGTTACTTCTCTTTGCCTTTCCCGCTCTTTGCTCTTTCCTCTCTATTCTTTTTTTTTTTTTTGCTTTTTGGGTCACACCCAGCGATGCACAGGGGTTACTCCTGGCTCTGCACTCAGGAATCACTCCTGGCGGTGCTCGGGGGACCATATGGGATGCTGGAAATTGAACCCAGGTCAGCCGTGTGCAAGGCAAACGCCCTACCCGCTGTGCTATCGCTCAAGCCCCTCTATTCTTTCTCTATTATATATACACAAAAAAATGTAGGCATATATATACACGTGCATATGTATATCTATATCTACATACATTTATATCATGAGTACTCCCGACTTTGTGCTCAGTCACTCCCAATCATGCTGGCATCATGTGCTGCAAAGCATGTGCTCAGATTCTTGAGCTATCTCTACAGCTCTAGCTTTGATTTTGTAAAATCATCTTTACTGTCTTAAAACACACTCAAACCACTACATGATTTTAATATTTATTTCCCTCTCTTTCTTTTTCTTTCTTTCTCTTTCTTTCTTTCTTTCTTTCTTTCTTTCTTTCTTTCTTTCTTTCTTTCTTTCTCTCTCTCTCTCTTTCTTTCTTTCTTTCCATACCTAGAGGTGTTGTAACAAATGCTACTTTTAGCATTTGTTAAAATGAGGAGGAAGCTCAAAGTGGTAGAGCACATGCCTAGCATGTGTGAGACCTTGAGAACTGTATGATCCCCCAGAGCACCATCACTTTGGAGGCCTCAATTCAAAAATAACAAATGTTGTTAAGGATGGGATCTGTCTCCCTTACAATATTCTCTTCTCCATTCCTAAACTTTCAGATGAAACAGAACCAGGAAACCAAAAAACAAAGGAAAATTTTTGTTACTTGAACATCTGTCTTTCTGTCTTGAGGCACCTGATTTTAAATGGCCACATCTGCATTTTATGAGTGCAGGCTTCTGCTTTCAAGCATCCCTGAAACTTTTAAGCTCCTTGAGTGTTGAAAAGTTTTAAACTTCTGCTTTGTCTTATCTTTTCATCCTAGGTATGAGAAAGATAATAAGTGACATCTGAAGAGAACCATGGCCTGCCTTTATGAGAGGGAAGTATGGCATTCTTTTATGTTCATTTATTTCCTATTTTCTTGCGTTTATCTTTTTATATTCTTTGAAGCTTGCATTGTGTTCTCTGAACTCTGAAATTTCTACCAGATGAGCAATTTAATTAACCCACGATCCTTTAGAGAACGTTGTGAACAAATAAATCATCCTTGAGATTGAACTGGCAAATTAAAAGAGATTTTTCTGGTATCACGAGTATTTGGCCTAAAATTATTTTCAGGTGATAAATAACATTCCGAAATAGTTAAGCATTCAGTTGGTTATCTGAACCTTTGTAATCTCTTAAAGTAGCTGAGACAAATAAGATCCAAAATATTAGATAGAAAAAAAAATATTCCAAAGCTTGATGACCAGTATTCCAAAGAATTCATCTTACAATATATATTTGGACAATTATTTATTTAGTTCAAAAATATATTTTGAAGAATGTATTCTGGTTACAGCATATTTGTTGTTTTGTTTTGTGGGGTTATTTCTCTCTGTCTGTCTGTCTGTCTCTATGTCTGTCTCTCCCTCTGCTTCTATCTCTGTCTCTCTGTTCCTGTATCTCTGTCTCTGTCTCTGTTTCTGTCTGTCAGTCTCTCTCTCTCTCTCTCTCTCTCTCTCTCTCTCTCTCTCTCTGTATGTGAAAGCATATAGTGTTAAATGAGATTGTAAATTTTAAGTTAGGATGAACCACTTTGGAGAACTGCCAAATCTATGAAGATATTCTTTATTATCTTAAGTAATAGCAAATTACAAAATTCCACTAAAGAGCTATCATACTTTAAAAACTATTTCCATACTTACCTGGCAGGGGAGATACCATGATCACGAAGGCAGTTTTCCCATGGCGAGACTTATCCATTTCACTCCAGATGTGCTGACCCTGTGATTTCCCCAAATGTGGGAAACTCGACTGCAGAATTTGTGGTAGTTGGGGACTGCTACAAAACTATTTCCATTTCTCTCCTTTATCTTTGTGATTTATTTTTTTTCATGAAAATAGTTCCCTAATGAGCACATTTTCATTTTTCTCTCTCCTTATCTATAGACTATTAAAATCAACCGAGCTGCTTAATTATTTAGTTAAGAAAAAACACCCTAATTGGAAAGCATCATCATTTTGCAACTAATTTTAGAATTTATAGCTTCATAGATGCAGCTTAGGAAAAACTTACCAAAAGAACCTCAAGATTCTAATTATATGAATATATAAATTACATATCTTCATGCTATATTATCATATACATTAAAATTTTAATTGATACAGTGCAAACTGATGAGGATAATTACCGAGGAATTTTAAGAGTTCCCCCTACTGATCAATGCAAGCACATCATTTATTTTTAAAATGTGTACTAGTTGGTTCTAAAGAAAAGTATCTTAAATAGATATAACTGCTACTAGTTAGCTTTCATGGGCTGGAGCAATAGCACAGTGGGTAAGACGTTTGCCTTGCACACAGCCAGCATGGCCGACCAGAGTTCGATTCCTCCGCCCCTCTCGGAGAGCCGGGTAAGCTACCGAGAGTATCTTTGCACGGCAAAGATTGGCAAGCTACCCCTGACGTATTCAATATGCCAAACACAGTAACAACAAAGTCTCACGATGGAGACGTTACTGGGCCCGCTTGAGAAAAATCGATGAACAACGGGAGGACAGTGACAGTGATTTAGCATTCATAAGACTACATGGAAGACTACGCATTTATTGATGAGGATTGGAGTTCAGTGAGTCTTCATTCTTCTGAGCACAAGAACACCTGAAAGATGGTTTAGAAAGCAAAGAGGCCTGGAACCCCCGGGCCCCAGGAGATTGCATTTAGTTATTCTATTTAGTTATTTGCTTTTCGCGTCACACCCAGCGATGCACACGGATTACTCCTGACTCTGCACTCAGGAATTACTTCTAGTGGTGCTCAGGGGACCATATGGGATGCTAGGAATCGAACCCGGGTTGGCCGCATGCAAGGCAAACACCCTACCACTGTGCTATTGCTCCAGCCCCACAGTTTAGTTATTCTAGGTGGGCTGTGCTCCTTGTTCTTTCAGTTCCCTGCCTTGCCTACTGAGCAGTCAAGCAGAGTCAACAAAAGGATCTGATATAAAGCATTTCACAAATCATTTAAACTTAATCACTTAATCACTTAACTTCCCGTTAGTCGTCGATTTGCTCGAGCGGGCGCCAGTAACGTCTCCATTTGTCCCTGTCACGTGCTAGTGTAGCCCAATGACATCTGTTCTCTCCGGGAACATGAAGGGTCTCAAACCGATCGTTCATGATCTTGACGAAGAAGTCTGACCATCTGGAAGGTGGGCGGCCACGCGGTCTTTTGACATCTCGTGGAATCCAATCATTAACAGCTCTAGTCCAACGGTCGTCTTTAAATCTCATTACGTGACCAGTCCATCTGATTTTCGACACCTTGGCAAATGAGACAGCGTCCCTGATCCTTGATCGTCGACGGATGTCAGAACTCCGGATTCGTTCTCTCATTTGAGTGAAACGTGATATTCCAAGCATAGCTCTTTCTATTCTTCTTTGGGAGACCTGAATAGCGTTCTCATCTTGTTTGCATAGGGCCCAGGTCTCTGAGGCATATGTTAATGCAGGAAGAACAGTGGAATCAAAGAGATGTGCCCGGAGCCGGAGGTTCTTCGTCCTCTTAGCTAGTTCTTCGATGTTATTGAAGGCGTTCCAAGCCGCTCTCTTCCTCCTGCGCAGCTCGGGTGCCAGGTCATTTGTCATGTTGACCTCTCGACCTAGGTACACATAGCTGTTGCATTCGGAGATGGTCATTCCATTGAGAACAAATGGGGCGTCAGGAATAAGGCTGTTTCTCATAAACATTGTCTTCGTAAGATTCAGCTGTAGTCCTACCTTTCCACACTCACGGTCAAAGTCGGCCAGCATTTGTGCCGCTTGGCTGATGTTTGGTGTTATTAAAAAAATGTCATCAGCAAAGCGGAGGTGGTGTAGTTGCCGACCATCTATCTTCACTCCCATTCCTTCCCATTCCAGTCGTCGCATGATGTTCTCGAAGGTGGCACTGAAGAGTTTCGGTGAAATGGTATCACCCTGACGCACCCCTCTCTTGACATCAACGATCACTTCTTTGTAGAATGGTGAGATCCTGGTAGTGAATCCGCAATACAGCTCACGGAGGACCCTGATGTATTGGGCTTGAATGCCCTGATTGGCTAGGGCTTCAATGACCGCTTCCATCTCAACAGAATCAAAGGCCTTCTTTAAATCAACGAACGTTAAGCAGAGCGGCATCTTGAACTCCCGAGAAACCTCAATGAGCTTGGTTATCGTGTGGATATGGTCGATGGTGCTGAATCCTTTGCGGAACCCGGCTTGCTCGCATGGTTGTCCTTCATCTAGTGTTCTGCCAATCCTATTTAGGATGACTCGAGTGAACAACTTGTAGATGACAGACAATAGGCAGATCGGGCGATAGTTGCCAATGTCATGGATGTCTCCCTTCTTGAACAGTAGTACGGTCCTGCTGGTTTTCCATTGGGACGGAACCTTGCATTCAGACAGGTAGCGAGTGAAGAGCCGAGCCAGTGTATTGATGAGTACTGACGGCAGGTTCTTCAGGTGTTCAGGTCTGACCTTGTCTGGGCCGGGTGCTGTTTGTTTCTTTACCAACGAAATGGTGTGTCGGATTTCGGAAGGGAGAACGTTGGGAATGACATATCCATCCTGTGGAATTTGATATGTCGGCAAGTGGACATGGCTATCGAAGAGATTTGAGTAGAAGTCATGGATAATCTTCTCCATTGCCGTTCTGGAGGATGTGATGGATCCATCAGGACGTCGGAGGGCAGTCATCTTGGTCTTATAGTTGGCGAAGGACAGGCGGGCGTTACGAATACTTTTCCCGGCTTCTGCCGCATCTACCAGTACTTCTGCTCTTCTCTCTTTGAGGTCTTCCTTGATCGCATCTCTGCACTGCTTTGTGAGCTCGGACGTTAGCTTGCGGTTGCCTGAGGCATGCGCCAAACCACGCTGGCGAATTAGCTCAAGAGTTTTCGAAGATAGGTGATTTTTTGTGGCTATCTCTCTCTTGGCGTTCCTCGCACATTCATGGAGGTGCTGAACCAGTCGATCGTATTCCTCGTCAATGTTGTCAACAATGGCATCTTCCCATGTTGCCGCAATAGTACCAAAGAGTTCCCAGTTGGTGGTCATTCTGGGAGTTCTCTTTTTGAACTTTGCAGCCCTTTCTCCCCGCTCTGTGAAGTAGAATTTTACACAAAGGAGACGGTGGTCCGATCCCATTCGAAATTTTGGGACAACAGTGACATCAGTCAGGCAAAACCGTCGATTGAATATGATGTGGTCTATTTCACTGTGGAATCGTCCACCGGGAGACTCCCATGTCCATCGTTTAGATTCTGCCTTCTGGAACTGTGAGTTACCATGAATGGTCTTGGTCGACATGATGAACTCAGACAGTCTCTCACCCTGTTCATTCCATTCTAGGCCATGGGTCCTGATGTGAAGTTCTTCAGCTGATCTTCTCGGTCCTATCTTGGCATTAAAATCACCCACAATGATCTTGTAGAAGGTGTGGTCTTCTTTATAGAACTTCTCTAGCTCCATGTAGAACTTCTCGATTTCTCTTTCATCATAATGAGATGTTGGTGCGTAGACAACGAAGATAGAAACTGCAGGCAGTGAGCCACATCTATTCAAATGTAAACGTCTGATCGGGTTGTTAGGCATTCGAATGAATCAATGCTCTTGGCCCAGTTTGTGTTGACAAGGACACCAACGCCTCCAACACCTCTTTTATCGCATGTTCCGAGGAACAATTCTTCTCCAGTGTCGAAAACGGCATGGTGAGGTTTGTGCCTTCTTGTCTCGGTCAGACCAATGATGTCGTACTTGATCATTCGCGCTTGTACCATCAGGTCCTCGATGGATGCATCTGATGCTAGCGTACCTGCATTGAAAGTACAGACGATCATTTTTGTCTTCCTTCGTTGTGGCAGCCTAGGTCGGCCTTGAGATTTTGTCGGCCTCTCCTTTCTCATCCTTCTCAGTGCTGCCATGTCGGTGAAGCCTTCAGGGTCAGGTGAATGAGACCAGTTGTAGTTACTGGTTTTGGCATATCGAATACACAGCGGATAGCTTACCAGGCTCTTCCGTGCGGGCGGAATACTCTCGGTAGCTTGCCAGTCTTTCCGAGAGGGATAGAGGCTTTTGGGGTGACCTCTAATCACCCTTGTAGGTGTTACCATATTTGAACCCTATCAAATACGGTACGACAATTCTGGAAGATAGGTATTTAGTGTCTTATGATGTGTCGCGCGGCCGCTTTGCGGCCGAGCGGGTCCGGAAAGAGTCCTGAAGTGTGGCGACGGCTGGGTAGTGGAAGTAGCTACAATCATTTAAACATCCAATAAAAAACTCAAAACTCACCAGTTTTGAATGAGCCTCTTGCAAATTCTTCCTATAATTAGCCTGAGATTGAAATTGCTTTATTCCCTCCTCCTCCTTTTCTCTTTCCTCCCTTCCTTTGTCCCTTTTTTCTGGTCATATTTTGGTAGCATTCAGAGTGATAGGATCTTCCTAGTTACACTGATAAGGAAGAAATTCCTATGATTTAAAATTTTTATATATGTATGTTTTTATGCAGACTTTAAATTCTTCAATCTTCAATCGTCTGACATGTATTAAATAGGTAGAACTACATTCATACCCATAGGAAAATGTTGACATTCTTTGGAATCAAGTTATTGGGACTCTACTATGGGCTTCCAAACTCTGTCTTCTTTCACCCTTTACTCATTCAATTGATTTTTTCAATTATTAATCTGTGATCTATAGTAATGCTTGTTGTTAGTCAGAATCATACAACCAATTTTTTAGCATCAGTGTTTCTAATTGTCAGTAAGTTTATTCCATCAGATACAAGGTTATCTAAGGTCAGCTGAGAGCACTGTGT